AATGTATTTTACATAAAATACTGTTCCACTTGAAAGGTACTTTGAACATTGTGTTATGTTTAGGATTGCATATATATATATATATATATATATATATACACACTATATAATCATTAGCTGTATTAAGGAAACCCGCATGTAATTACACAGAATTTCATTAAATTCAATTTAGCTCCCAGAAAATCCAATTCAATTCTAGTTCTTCTTCCTGTAGGTTTTTTCCCCCCCAATTCCAATTTTTTTTTCCCAGTTCCTTTTCCTGGTTTGAATTGGATTTGATGAGTTCATTCATGAATGGCTGTTTACTGGTGATAGTGTCATCATTAGTAAATTTGATGTGATAACTTTCAGATTAAGAATGACAGAACTTCAGTTTAGCCAGTCTCTAGCAATAATGCAAATCTTGTCTTAGCACTTTAATGTAGTCAAGCAATTTTAAGTTTTTTTTTTTTTTACTTTTATAAAATTATACTTACAGTTCCTTTATCAGCGAGGTCATTTAAGGTTACTTTGCAAAAAAGTACATCATCATAAATAGCATAAAATAGGCACTTGAGAAATGATGCATTAAGCTTAAAATTATATGATGGTGTTATCAATCAATTCACTGATGCTCCTATACTATACAGTATACAGTATACTGCTATATATACTTCATATACAAAGTACTTCGGTTTAAGTAACAGGGCGCCAGCTATGGAGGTTTAGCAAGGAGGAACGGGCAGGAGACTAAGCGAGAGGTAACTGAGGCAGCTGGGGTGGCGGCCGGGCGAGGGAGGGGCAAACCCTTTGGATGTTATACAGAAGTAAGATTCCCCAGTCGTAGGTGCCCATGCTAGAGGATGGCAACGCCAAGCTTTGTGGCATTTGAATAACTCTGAGATGCATCGATGCTGTGGAAAGAAGTCCGCACGTGTTTCAGAAATGGCCAGTTGGCTCAGGTAGAATAATCTGCTAGAAAATAATTAACATGACAGACGACCTGTGTGTCAGGGTCAGATACAGTTTATCTACGTAGTGGTGGTAAGAAAAGTTTGTAATGAGAAAGGTAGAATACCAGTAGATAAGACTGGGTCCAGTACCGACCATGTGACTGCAAGCTTAGTGTCTGCTGACAGTCACTCCAGAAGAGGACACACAAGTGCAATGAAGCAGCCTGTGGGAGCAGCGTGTGGCTCAGTGGACTAAAGCCTCTGTGTCTTTGATCCGGAGGTCGCCGGTTCGAACCCGGCCTCGGCAGAATAGTCATTTTTGTGGGCCCTTGAGCGAGACCCTTAACCCCCCACAGCTCCATGGGCGCTGCTACAGGCGGCTGCCCTTCACGCCAAGCTTGCTCTCACCTACATGTGTGTCACGAAGAGCAAGAGGAGGAAGGTGAAAACAGGAATTTCCTCACGGGGATCAATAAAGTGTCGTCTTTCATTCATCCATCCTTAACGATTGTAAAGAGGACTTTTGGTAGTGTAGTGAAATGACTGGGCAGGACACTCAAGCAGAGTAACCAGACTTATATTTTAAGTTCCACTCTTCACCATTGAAAGGTTTTCATTTTCAATTTCAATTCCTATCTATATTATAAGCTATTATCCTTCAAATCTGGTTGAACTTCACGGTTTCTGTCTCGTCTTTTTATCTGTCAAAAATGCACGGGGCCACATTTTGCCAGGTCATACATTTGATCATATTTAAAACCCCTGTTTCTAATTTCCTCCTTTATTGTGGAAAATAGGGGACATGAGAATATCTGATATTAATAAAAGTAATAAATCTTTTTGAATTAAGAATGACAATAACGCTTTAGAACACATTTTATGTATACTGCCTTTCTAAATGTATTTGCTCAAAAAATAGTAACAGTATTACAAGTTGATTAAAAACTAATTAAAACCCGCATCCTGATCAGGAACAAAGGCAGAACATGTTAGACGGGACTGAAATTATACAAAAATCTCTGAGGGAGCAGAGACGAGGAACAACCTCCTGCGTTATAAATTGTTAAAATGAAACGCTTGTGATCACTTAAATGTATACAGTTATTCCTAGCTAGATGTGTTTATGTGTCTTTAACAGTGATCTATGGTAACCGATAAGCGCAGTTATTTCTACAGATATGGTTGCTTCAGAATGATCTTCTTAGTCAAAATGCAAAGTGAGCGCACAATGGGAAGCTGAATAAACATCGGAAAACCGTTCCAGCCGCTACAGGCCACTTGTGCTCAGCGGCCGCTTTATTAGGTACAGCGAACAGCCTGAGTCACGTGTCTACAACTCAATTCATGCAGCACGCAGACGGGGTGCAGGAGTCCACTTACTGCTCAGCTAAGCATTAAAATTGCTTAGATCAGACATCTTAGCCGTCTTGAATGTGGTGTGAAAGCCGGAGCCATACGTGCCGCTCCTGGTGTCTCAGAAACAGCCTCCCTCCTGGCATTTTAATGATCTACACCGTCTAGAGTTTACAGAAAATGGTCGATGACCAAAAAACAATGGCGTTTTCATGGACGAAAACACCTTATTAAAGAGTGAGGTCAGAGGAGAACGAACGGTCAGACTTGTTAAAGGTATCAGGAAGGTCACAAGTGCAAAAATAACAAGTGAGTACATCAGTGGCGTGTAGAACGGCGGCTCTGAAAGCCCGGCTCTCCTCCCCCCGAAGTGGTTACGAAGGTGGAGGCGTCTCCGTCCTGGTACTTCCCAGTGAAGTGGCCATTGAGGGTGCATGTGTGGGTCATATATACTGTGTGTATATATATATATATATACATACATACATACATATTACAACCCCACGACGACATGGGGAGAACATGCAAACTCTGCATACGTAACCCAGGCAGAGATTTGAACCCAGGTCCCAGAGGTGTGAGGCAACAGTGCTAACCACCATGCCACCCTACTGAATGACCCCCCCCCCCCATGTGATAAAAAAAACTGTTATTTTAATATTGTAGGGATCATTATTTTGGCCCTCCCTAAGGGAAATTCAGTTCTATAAAAATATATGAAAATGCCTAAAGTCTTGTATATTTTTTCGTCACTTATGGTTAAGGTTAGGGCTGGGTAGGGGTTAAGGTCGTCATTATTGGGATTAAAGTTTTTCCCATAGAAATGAATGGAGAGTCCCGACAAAGATATAATTACAAACG